ATTTCAAAATAAAAGCTCACTTCAAAAGGTTAAAAGTCAAGGTATTGCACGTCTTACAATAATATGCTAAAAAAAATGTACCATCATTAAAAATGACATAGCATCTGACATAAAAATATTGCGTAATATAATTACTGGTACACAAAAGTAGTATTTAGTACTGCACATAAACATAACACATCAAGGATAATAAAAATATTGCGTAATATAATTACTGGTACACAAAAGTAGTATTTAGTACTGCACATAAACATAACACATCAACGATAATAAAAATCCTGACAAGTGCAAGACATTAAATCGTCATGGTAACTGTAAAGCCTGGTATCGAGCACCATAAATGTGGCCGAATGACCGACATGTAAACTGTATTTATATATGCGCCTTGTAATTAAAACTGAATGTTCAGGAAGTAGACAGCTTTTTGGCAATATAGTACTTTTACAAATTCTTAGTACTACGACTGTTGATTTTTGTATTGAATTAAATATTTATAAACATGATAATGATGCAGAAGATTTCTGATAAAAATAGAAAGTATTATTTCCTAAACACATCTTACTATGTGTCTGTATATATACAATATATTCTTATCAAAATATAGCAATCTTCCCTCCCAATGGTGACACAATTTGATGTGCACGTATTTTTACTCGATTTTCGATTACTAGATTTTCCACACTTGTACTTTCTCTGCTACAACACACCAATTTGCATGGTCGTAATAGCTCTGCAAAACATACAGACTTTCTACATGCTCTTCAACCAGATTCACAAGTTCCCCCTCTTTAAAAACATGATAATAACGCTTACAAGTTGAGGGGTCAGCCGTTACAAGGTTTTCTGTGTCATTTTCAGTACCGTTATTTATATTCTTCATCTTGTCACTATCATCATTGTCCTCCACTTCTCCATTACAAGAACAGAGATCAACCTGAATACTTTCAGCCGTTTTGGTTTTATGTTGTTTACTGAAATGAATTCTCTTTTCAATACAGCTTCCAGAGCTGTCGCTATCGACCGAGGAAACACTGCAGCCGTCATCTGATATGCCTAACGATTTCTTTTTAAGCGAGAACCTCAGTGGTTTGTATGTTTCACCTTTTGCAAAAGCCTGGCTAATCTTGGCTATCGGTGGTGTACACCTACCTTGACGTAGTCTGAGTAACTTGGGTGAAAATCGACTACTGATATTTAATAGCCAACTTTCACTTTTAGTTTTTCTTAAATATGATATTTCATTATCAGTTGAGTTGTCGGAGGCATCAGATATAGTTGCATCACCAACCTTTTTTTGTCCTTTCCAAACATGATTTTCTGATTTTTTAGTTTCATCTTCATCCATGCTTTGATCTGACCCACCCTCATTTTTTGAGATTCTATTTAGAGATTCTCCATTGTGGTTTGGCAAATCTGTTGCTTTGTTGAATCCATTTACTAATGATTTTTCACCAATTTGAGATTCATTAGATTCTGCTTTGCCATCACCGATACATTCAGCCGTTAAACGCTTCACGTCGTTAACTACCTTTTGAATAGTCTCCGACTGATCCACAACAACCCATGAGTCATCAGCAATCTCACAACTTCCTTTTACAACATCATGCTCGTCTTTTTTTCCTGATAGGGTGCTTTCACAGGTTTCCATATTCAAACCGTTATCTGAGTTTTCACTTGGCACATTATCGGGACAGGTCTCTACACTTTGTTCACTATTAGTACTATTTTCTCTCTCATAAGACATCCTTCCCATTGTTACACCGCTATCTGAATACGATCGCTGTGGAAGTCCACATTTTCTACAAGAGTCAGGGTTAGTGATTTCTCCATTGTCTTGTCTGCATTGTGTGGGTTGTGATCTGACACCTGGCAATTCCTGGTCTTGTTGTTGTCTCGGTTGTCTGTGTGGGGATTGCCTTGGCATGTCCTGGTCATCATCGCTGGTGGAGCTACAATAGCTTGAATTCTCATTCTTCAAATCTTGTAAACGTCTAGCTGTTGAGAAATTACGAGATATGCATAATTGTTTTAATATGCAGGTATGTATTAGTCAATATGGCAACACTGATTACCTTTGAACTACAGCAAATTGCACAAGTACTACGGTACTCATATGAGTATATTGGTCATGAATTAGAAGACAGTAGTTTATCGGTTTATTGTGTACAGTCATAGAACTATAGTTTCATAGTACTGTAAAAGGATTAATTATTCACTGGGTTTTAATTTTGCTTATTTCGCTGACTGGAAAATGCACTACCGTATTACCCCGGGCACGCGCCCCTCCCTGGGCAAGCGCCCACCCCCCTATTTTCACAAAAGTTACATGTTGGGGACATCCTCGGTTAAACGCCCATGGTGATTTTTAGCCAAGAATGGGATCAACAATAAAGTATTATTTGTCAAAAACGAACGCGTTTGATTTATTTAAATAGTGTGTTTGTTATGGTAGTTCTCTTTTGGGAGTGTGTGGTGGCCCTGAAAAGGGCCGTTTTGTTTGTGTTTTTACGTAAAAACTCATTGGAACTTAACGGCGTAAGATGAACCACGCAGCATGTGGCGCATACGTTTTGCTTTCTCTTCATTCACGTAGAGGTCAAAATACGCGTTCTATTTTTACGCGTTAAGTTTGGCTCTTCCGTTTCACCCCCTCCGGCATGTTCTACTTTCGCAGCCTAATCGCAGGTTTTTCAAAAGACGTCGAAAAAAACACAGAATTAGTAGAAATGTTCCTGTTTTGGGCGGATTATTGATAGAAAATAATGTCTTTATTACAAAATGCTGAAAAACCGTGAGTTTTTGCCTTAGTTATTTTTTTATGCG